CTGAATCTGACTCCGATTAAAAAACAAAAAAAAAAGACCCGCTGCAATGTGTAAAAAGTCTGTATCTGTATGAATGTGTGAAGAAAGTGTTCCTCCACCTCCTCCTCACAACATCTGACTACCCAGCATAATTGGTGACTGCTCCATTTTCATTTTTTTGTTATGGTACAGTACGGTTATTTGGTTATTTTATGCTGCGGAACGAATTATATGTTTTAACATGTATTTCTATGGGAAAATGCGTTTCATATAACGGACTTTTCACTTAACGGACGTGCACCTGGAACGGATTATGTACGTTATACCAGGCACTACTGTATATGGCCAACTAGTATTCACACTACTATAAACCCATTGCCTCCCGAGACTTCTATGAGAATGTCCCGGGAAATCCAACTCCAGCTGTTCTCAAGGTCATCCAGCTGTGTAAACAATGACTCATCAGCGTCAGATTTCACAGAAAGGCGAGACAAAGGAAAACAAAATTAATGCATTTCTTTTGGTTTTTTTCAGTTTTAAGTATTTTTTATGTTTAATTACATTAATATCAAAAATGTCTTTGTACGCAACGGGTTAAGGTGCATAATTTAATACAAAGTGCTAGAAGATCATTTACCTGACTTTATTCGAATTTAGGATGGGGAAGTCGTCTTGGGGCTTCTTTCTTGTGTAAATTTATACAATCTTGTTATCACGTCTGATTTCAAACTGGCATAGGCTGGGGCATGCCTCTAAGATATCTTAAAATGCTCGTTCTTGAATATAAGTGGGATAACTGTTTGTGAAAACATAATTAACCAAGAAAATTAAATCTACTTGCTCTATGTAAAATACTTATCTTGAAATTGTCAAGACACTTTTTCTGTCAAGAAAAAAAATAGAAGTACTGGGAATGGGAAGTGCTCATGGGGCAAGTAATGAAGTGAATCTTGTATTTTCATGAATTCAGAACATTTATCTGTAAGATGTTCAAAATAATTGTTAGGTTCAATTGATTCAAAAGGATTTTTTTTTTGTTCTGGAACGTAACTGTTATTTTGATTTTGATGGTGATTTGGATACACCATCAAAATCAAATTCTATTTTGCCTATTTTGCCTATTTGGCCTATTCAATTTATCCCAATTCTGATTCTTTTGAATACTTTCTAAAGATTGTTTAGAAAAATTAATGATTTACATTACAAGCACAGTATATTTGTGAATTATAATAAACATCAAACTGGGAAATCCAGAATCATTCTTAAATCTTTCAAAATAAACCCAAAAAATTCTCCATTTTTACGTGGATATGCATGCTGTTATTGTGTGCTACAAAATAAATGTGTAATCTTATTTCGGATAAAGTTAATATTGCAACACTACCCTCAAAAAAATTACAGCTAATTCCCTTGTACTCAATGAATTATCCCAATGAGTCATCTAGGATTACCATTTTTGGAAACTGCTTCGTTGGCCAATGCAATGATTGGTTGGGGGAAAGGTGAATAAGAAGA